CACACACACACACACACACACACACACACACACACACACACACACACACATACAGTATATACATATCCACATTCATACATACGTATATTTCCAATGCACTTTCAGACTGAAGTAAATGTCGCTGTGCTCATTTTTATGAACTTCTTTAAGTGCAGGTTTTGCTGTTTGATTGTAATAAACATCCTCCGACATTGAGTTGTATGTCTACAATTTATTTCCATAGTGTAAATGCTTGGATGTGCTTCATAATGACTGTCACAAGTTAGCAGACTGAATTGACTTGCGTTGAAACAGTGTTCTCAGTGCTCATTGAAGAGATGTTCCTGATTCCTGTGATTGGCTGAGGAGGTCTGCTGCAGACGTCAGAGACGACCTCTGTAGCTYCAGCTTTTATTATAACATCTAAAGAACAGGAAGAGGAGGTGGAGGCCGAGTGCATAACTGAGATTTCAAGGCTGAAAAGATTCATTGCTGGTTACCTTGTGTGAATGGAAACAAGGACAGGGAATCATGCTGATTTTACACTCAGCTGGACTGTTACATGCTATCAGACTGGTAAAATAAGGGAGTAAAATGGTACAACATCCGTAGAAACTCATTATTTGGCAACAGTTTGCTTCCTTTGCTGTTCTGCGCTGAACTGCTCATGGTTCTGAGGTATTCATTTGTTATTAGACTCTGCAGTGAGAGATAATCTGATTCTGTTCTCGTTTTGCAGCAATTTGATCCCAAACAAGCACAGCAACTGTTAGTACGGCTTGAATAAATAACATTTGATTGCTTTATAGTGTGTGTTGATCAAGTCCTGATGCCTTCATGTTATATATGTTGTAGGTATGTGTGTATCTGCCACAGGCAGCACCACGGGGTCTCACATGCACACTGTGTGTAGATGAGCATCAGCAGGCCTAATGCGGAGAGTCAGCTGTCCTCTTGGAACAGTTRGGATGGTTTTAGTGGAACGTGGAGGGGTAGAGATGGTGTATGAACCCAGTGTGGACCATGCTGGACTCCCGGAGGCAGTCAGAAGTGTAGAGGGCACCACATGTAGTCCTGTTCAGTACAGTAAACATACAAGCAGCCAGAGTAGACAGCATTTTAAAACAGAAAAGGGAATCAATGTAATCGTTTTCAGAACAAAAACTATGCATTCTCTTGTGTACAAAACCAAGAATGTGTCACAGATTATCCCTGTGCTCCATGCTCGCTGTGTCACATTATGATTCATTATCATGGACTCATAGATTATGTCCCTCTTTCTCCCTTTCTTGTTTTTTCCCGTGTCCCTCTGTGTGCAGAAGCGGGAGGTAAGAAGTTGCGGAGTACCATCCAGAGGAGTACGGAGACGGGCTTGGCGGTTGAGATGAGGAGCAGGATGACTCGGCAGGCCAGTCGGGAGTCCACAGATGGCAGCATGAACAGCTACAGCTCGGAGGGAAAGTAAGGAGACCAGGACCTCACAAAAAGCTGCAACTTTCGATATTATTAGGAACTGTTTTTACACAGTTTAAAACTTGGTGAAAAATGAGGAGTAAATCAAGTCTTATTAAAGAACTAGCGTACACCTGACATTTTTCATTTGTTTATTTATTTATTCATTTATTTATTTATTTATTTATTTATTTTTTGCTTTAGTCTCATCTTCCCCAGTGTGAGGCTCTCCTCAGATGCTCAGTTTAGTGACTTCCTGGACGGACTCGGTCCCGCCCAACTTGTAGGACGTCAGACATTGGCTACACCATCGATGGGTGAGAACAAATTCAAAGTTGGGGTTAGGTTTTTTTTTCCCTCCCTTAAAGATATTTCTGTGCATTTTTAAATGTTTTGTTCTACCTATTTTAAGGGGACATCCAGATTGGTATGGTGGAGAAAAAAGGAGCCCTGGAGGTGGAGGTCATTAGAGCCCGTGGCCTTGTAGGAAAACCAGGTTCCAAGGCACTGCCAGGTAAACGAGCTCTCAGACAGGAACTCGTTAACAGAACAGACTTTTTGATTTCTCTGAGTTGTTATGGCCTACTTTGCATGATGATGAACAGTAAAACAAAGACCCAGGGAAGCTAAGTACTTTTCTGCTCTCTGTTCAACTGCAGCACCATATGTAAAAGTCTACCTTTTGGAAAACGGAGCCTGCATAGCCAAAAAGAAAACTAAAGTAGCAAGAAAAACACTGGATCCTCTTTACCAGCAGCAACTGCCGTTTGAGGAGAGTCCAGGAGGGAAAGTTTTACAAGTAAGATCATTTAAACAAAAACAGAGACAAAGGAAAATTGTTTTCTCTTTCTTATATTTTAGACAACTGCTTCTTTTTTCTCTTTGGATTCTCAGGTCATCGTATGGGGTGACTATGGGCGTATGGACCATAAATCCTTCATGGGAGCAGTTCAGTTACTGTTAGATGACCTGGACCTGTCCAACATGGTGATTGGCTGGTACAAGCTTTTTCCTCCTTCCTCTCTTGTGGACCCAACTCTGGCCCCACTGACAAGAAGAGCTTCCCAATCTTCACTGGACAGTTTCTCTCGATCATAGCAGCGTGTGGACTGATAGCAATGGTGTAGCAGCCAGTGTTGCAGCAACAGGTCACGAGCCCCGGTTGCACTGCATGCTTGATGTTGTGTCTTCTGAGCCTGTTTCTCGGGGTACAAATGTGATCCTGTGTTTTAAGCAAAAACGTTGCGCACATTGTGCACGTGGCAAAGTGTGTCGCAAAGCACCCAGTGGCAGGGATTGCCAGGTGTAGTTGTCATTTGGAGGGAGCCGGGATGAACTCCTTAGCACGAGGAACACATCAGTTCCAGGTTTCCTTCCAATTCGAAGCCATGGGGTCAGCACTGGGAACCACTGAATGAGTTCTACAGAGGCCCTTTTCGAATAAAAAAAATCTACATGTTGCTTTTTTATGTTTTTTTTTTGTTTGTTTGTTTGTTCGTTCATTTCTGTTGATTTTAATGTACCTGTATTGTAAGGGGGTGACAGTGTTTCTAACCAGATGCTTGGTCACACCATGCCAACAGACCTAGCTATGTAAATGCAGCTTTGGAGACCACCACTTTGAGAGAGGTGTATTTATTATACTCCTCCAAAATGCAGGGGACATGCAGTACATGCTCAAAGTTTCTGAGCGGGTAAATCATTGATCGATCAGGGGCAATACTGAAGTGGCCACTATCAACACTCCAGAATATTCAGTAACAATCCAAACCCCTTGAAAAAAAAGTACAATCTTTATTAGTATTTCTTTGTTCATATATTGTATGAAAATTAAATGAGAAAAAAAGGAAATATTTTTCTTGTTTAGTTGATTTGCATGGGCACAAACGTAGCTGAAGAAAAATAAAAATAAATTTATTTTCTTGAGGCTGCAACTTGCAAAAAAAAGTACGATAAAGAAAAACAAACAAAATAGGTCAGCCATTTTCAACAATTTKTATTATTTTTAAAAATAAATTTCACTAGTGCATGGTTTTCAAGGGGAGTGAATGCAACATCGTAATGAAAAAAAGACATTGTTTGTCATTATTTTCCATTCATCAGTCTGTSTTTTACAGACAGGCAGATAGGGAAAATTAAAAAAATAAACTTTTGAGCTAATTTAAGGATAAAAAAAGCGACAATGAAAATAAATGTTATTCATTGTAAAAGGCTGCTGCCTTATAAATATGAACATTATGTGCAAATTGTACYTTTCTCTTTCTCTTCCTTGTTCAAGGGTTCTTCTCACTGTAGTATTCATTGCTACCATTGATCAGTCCCCTAATAAGTCCGGATTTTAGGACCGTTGGTTGCTTTACAGTTCTGGATTGTTTTATTGCGTCTTTTCTTTTTGATTTGATTTGTTTTAACAAGCATGTTGAAAGGGATTTTTTCTGCAACATGTCTTGGGCACACCTTACAGTAACTTAGCATGTTTTGATAAAGATGATATTTGGAATTTTTGCAGATTCTTGTACAGTGCATGGAAACTTTATTACTTTTCTCCCTCACAAGATAATTTGAGCAGCAAATTAGTCGTTGGTCTTCCACGACCAGTTATTGAGGTTTAAAAAAACATTCCACTCCCAAATCATATTTTCTTTCAGGGTTTTGAGGAGAAAAAAAAAACAACAACAAAAAACAAGAAGAAATAAGTTTTATATTAATGAGGCTGGCAACATAAGTATGATTTCAAGTGTATTTTGTTTCAATATTGTTGACAAACATGCAAAAATAATCTGTACTAGTACACCAAGACATCTATGCTGAAGCAAGAGGCAACAAACATGCAAGAGATGTTTGTTGCTTTGTTCAATTTTACAGGCACTGTTAGTGACGATGAGCAAATCACAAGTTTAAACAATACGGGATATTGCCACAGTAATTTTTTTTGTGTGTTTTAATGAAAATGAAATTATGTTACTATATTTTTGTTAATTTTATTTAAAAGCCAAGACCACTTTATTTTTTATTTTCTATTTTTATTAATTGAAAAAAAAAACTTCTCATTTTTGGGAAGTATGAGTCCTATAACTGCAGTATGTCTGAATGAAAAATGAACCGAGGCATTATTCCTTTTCCACAAGAGGATCAACGTATTTTAAAGGTCCAAATCAATCCTCTTTGTTGTAACAAAATACAGTATATATTTTCAGTTTACTTTTCACTGTACATATCTTTAGATGTCAGAATTTGAATAAACAAACTACAAACAACTCAACAGGTTCATAGACTCTTTTGGAATGGGAAAAATGCCTCATGATGACAAAGACATATGTTATTTATGCTTTTGAATGCCTTTTTAATTTAATCTTTTTGGTGCAATGTGTTAATACCAAGGCTATGTCTTGGTCAAGTATGGTTGAGTACAGAGATTTATGTAAGTTATTTTTCAAACTAAAAATAAAAGAAATTGATATTACATTGATGCAGAGAGTTGTGTGTTGATAATACAAATGCTCACAGGCAACAATGAACAAGCTGCACTTTGAAAATAAAGGCCATGCTTTTCTTTAAGAAGTGCATGTTGCCCATCACCTTTTATGCCAGATATTTAGACAAATCACTTTCTGATAAGGTATGGCCTTGTTGGCTTGAGTATGTGTTAGGGAAGACTCAGCTACTATCAATCATATTTTTCCAGGTTTCTGTAAAACTGGATAAAGTATAGCTGTTTCTGTGTTTTATAAGGTGGTGGAAGCCATCTTGAAGTGGATTCACAGCTGATTACTTTCAGAAGGTTTCATCAAAAGTTGTCCTCATGAGATATTTTGTTAACAGAGTAGACTCCAARAATTATTGGCAATGTTTTAAACAAGGACCTTGTCTGATGTGTGCTGAGAATGACTCTCTGCTYTCGTTTCCCCAAACCAAGTTTGATTTGATGTGGCAGSCATCTTGAAATAGGCTGAACTCAAAAAGATAAATAATATGTTGTACTCTATCAGTCAAAAGTTTGGACACTATCTTTCCYCTGAATGAGAAGATGTGTCCAAGCATTTGACTGGTAGTGTACATCTAATGATTAAGAGTTTTATTAAAATATGTCTACTGCTTTATCATCTACTAAAAAACAGACACAAAGACACAGGCCAGGGGTTTGTATATAAAATCCAACAATTTATTATTGTTATTTTCATACAAACAAATAACAACAGTACCTTGTGCTGGTTTGTGTTCAGAGAAGATGGAATTAAACAGATATTTGTAGGCCCTATTTAAACCTCATCATTTGAAATAATACTTGGAGACGAGGTGTGGCTGTCGACCAAAGATCTCCCCCTGAGGGTGGAATGTCGTAAGCTGGCACCTCACTTCGTGGGCCCTTTCCCTATCTCCAAGATTGTGAACCCTGTGGCGGTCAGACTCYGACTCCCTGCATCCATGAAGATCCACCCCACGTTCCATGTTTCCCAGGTCAAACCAGCCATTCAGTCAAGATTTGCCTCAGCCCCTCCTGGATACCTTTGCTCATCAGCTCTCATGGTTCTGACCCTGTTTCTGCTCATTGGATTATCATCTCCCGTCTCAATCCTGTTTGGCATCACAACAAATCTGACTTCCTGATTCTCGACCCTTGCCTGTGTCCTGGATTCCCAACAACCGCCAAAACCCTCCAACCTGTTAAAACCTTTGTTTACTCTGTGCATGACCCTSGCTTGTTTTACCACTCTGATTCTGCTTAACGGAACATTAAGTCCCACCGAGTTTTATCGGTGATGTAAACAAAACTACCCGGAACCAAATTTTCTCAGACCGTGTTTCCCCACGGAGGCTTCCTGCTAATGCCAGGTTGGTGAACTTGGTTCACCCTGCAACTTTGACCCAGTTTTGCTGCCATTTTAATTTGTTGCTTCTGTGTACAGATTATCCGGCCCAAGATCCAGTCTGGTTCCAGCCCAGCACCAGCAATAAAAATAAATACTTTAAACTTGTTTTTGTGTCCGGATCATTAACTGTGCTCAGACCTAGTATCATAACAAGAACTCAAAATTTTGAGGCAACAAACTTCAGGGCATTAAGTTTTGGACTTCAACTTAACTATTTAAGTTTTGCTTATGCGTTTGCCAAACTTAAATTTTCGTGTTTTTGTAACTCAACCAAAAGTTGTAGAAACAAAGTTTTAGGCTGTAAGAACTTTGTGTGCTGAGTCTTCTTCACATGGAAGTAGTTAGCCTGGTTTAAACCAGACCCTGTCCTTCACTTTGCTTCATACAAGGGTCTGGACTTGATGCATAGAGAATCGATTTCTTGCAGGAGGCATGGCCTCTGCTGAAGCATGTGTGTTGTCATTGTGAAGGAGGCTAAGCTAAGAAGCTAACCGGAAATCACGTGTGCTGTAAAACAACCCTACTGAGAGGAGAAATACACCAAGCCGAACAAGATMACTGTAAATGAGAGCTGCTGCTTTGTCAGACAAATTTATTTTAATTTGGAAGCCTTATCAACACGGACTGGCTTCCTCCACTGCCGTATGTTAAAATAACTAGCAGACACTGCGCAGAACAATGTCATTCAAAAACTCCACCTTCTGTTTGCTGATTGGCCCAGGTAAAATAAACTACAAGCAGACACAGTGCAGAAAATTGACGTTCTGCTCTCTGATTGGCCCGGCTAAAAATCTGCCAGCGAAATCCATCTCAATGGGAGAAGTCCCAGACGGAGCAGTGAAGGGAAATTAGAACTGAGTGGAGCTGCGTAGGAAGGCAAGGGCCAGGCTAGGAAGTAGCAGTAACTTTAAAATGTTAAGTTGTACTAACTATGAATCTCATTTTCTCTTACTACAGTTATCCAGTTATTATAAATTTTATCAACTGTAAATCCTGTATGCTGTGAATTTCACTGAGTTGCAGTAATTAAAATTTTATCATTCCATATTTTTTTTGTAGTAAAAATAGTTAGAGAGTTATCTGCTACTGTTGACTACATCAGCATGACCATGGACCATGGGTCAATATAGACAACACCTTACTCAGCCATCAGGATTGGTGCTTGGTGACACTTAACTYTTCAGGCCATTTTCCCTCTATAAGTCTATGACCCAGACCTCTCACTCATGGTGTCAGCTACAGTCAGTAACTAAAACTTAACACAGATGCCAAATCAAGCCTGAATGTAACAACAGAACACAAGTCAAAATGGTTCATGAATCACAGAAGAAAGTGTTTGTCTTTTTCAGCAAATRATCCATTTCAGCAACAAAGAGGCGGAGCCAGAACTCTGACATCTGATCTGATAGGAGGAAGAAGCAGGAAAAAGGAAACAAATACTTTCAAATCGAGTTTCTGCTCATTCTTTTAAACATTAACACTAAAAGTTTGGACTGGATAAATACAAACCAGAAGTATAAGAACAAAAGTTATCTCTGCAAGAGTAGTTCACTATGCCTTGAACTCAAAAGTCAACTCCCAAAGTTGTCTTTCCGGCATTTCCAAACAAAAGAATGTAAGTTAGCAGCACTTTAATCTGTTGCTATGACCTACAACTTAGAGATATAAGTACTGACAACTCACAAAATAATGTTTAAGATTACAACTGCCTTGGTTTTTTTGGACTGACTTAAATTATTGTGCCCAATATGTCAGACTTAGTTTTTCAAGTTTTTTCCACTGAAAATTGTTCTTCATCCCAAAAAAAAAAAAACAAAGTTGGATTTTTTACAGTGCAGTGAGAGTAAAGACTTGGTCCAGTGTTCCATGGTGAGGACAGAACCCCCATTGTTCTTCCTGAATTTAAGTTTCGACTATCGATCAGACTTTCTTCTCCAGTACCTCTGAATAGACCTTACTGGGGAGGCTACAAAGGGGGATGCCTCTGTAACTGGAACGCACCCTCCTGTCCCCCTTTTTGAAGAGGGGACTCACCACTCCAGTCTGCCAATCCAGTGGGACTACCCCCAATGTCCACATGATGGTGCAAAGGCGTGTCAACAAGATAGCCTCATAATTTCAGATGTGAATGACCCCAACTTTTTATATATTTACAAAACGCTTGTCCAAAGAATTAGTTTTTTCTATTCCACGGACAAGACCAAATAATGTTCAAAGGGGCAACATAGTAGACCTACAATGCTGGAATGCACTACAGGACCATCAGCAAAAATCTTGGTGAGAATGTGACAAATGTCAGTCCATCTACACAACTTAAAATCCTTATTTCCCTTATAATCTTTCTACTAAATATATATGTTCRTTGCTCATATCCTTCCGTTTTTCTTTGTCCTTGTTTCTTATTTTAGTGTCACATAAAAATCCATATCAGTCATTTCCTGTCAAAATAAACATAAGCCTGTCTCTTCTGCTTTTTGTAAAAGAAAATAAACAAAAAATAAAAAAAATCTAGAGATGACTGAGTGATGACTTATGACGAAGTTTTGGCAGTGGTGGAGGAGTTCCTGTTTGTGGTGTATTTAAGGAGCCTACAGAGGACAACTGTCACAGCAAGATTCTGTTCAGTGTGTTGGAGTCATTACGTTCTATTTATTTATTTATTGAAAAATATTTAAACTCTGGTAAAGTTAAAGCGAACACCTTCAGTCTAAAAGTGCAAATGTTTCCACTTTATTTTCTGTTGTGACTTTGGTTTCTTGGGTTTTTTCCTGCCAAACCTCAGGATGCTGTTCTCATGGATTACTCTGAAGCAAAGCTTACAGGAGACCGTTTCTCTGGCTCTAGATGCTTTTACCACAGATCAAAGAAAAGACTGGAGAAGGACTCTTCTGCTCATCGTTACCTGCAGCGTAACGAGCCTCCTGCTCAGCTCCCTGCTCCTCCTCTACCTCCTCTTCACTCTGGACTACAAGCTCTCYGTGGCTGGAGGGATCACTGGCTGCTTCGGGTTTCTGCTGACCTCAGCCTTTCTCCTATCAAAGACAGTAAGATGTTTGGGGACTCTGTTTGTGATTTCTGTTTTTATGAAGAAGAGTCGGAACCTGCTCCTGACGGCTGGAACGAGTTTAGTTGTTCTTAAAAATATTCGAAACACTGTGGAGAACCTGACACGCCTGGTCCGAAGTATGATTTGTAATCTGAAGGCAAAGAAAGCATCCATCACTGCTCCGTTTAGTAACTATATCAACATGTTGAAATGGATAGGAAGTTTACTCAAAGGAGTTACAGATCTTGGAGTAGTGAACCTTCAATCTAAACTCAAAGTTTCCCCCAGGATAGAATCAGAAAACTTCGAGTTAAAACTGAGCGAAGCAGAGCAGAAGCTGAATGAGACGGTGAAAAATGCTCAGGCCCTCATGGCAACCGTCTCCTCTGTGACTGAGAGGCTATTTCCTGCCATCAGCTTCCTCGTGCTCATGCTGGTCATAGCCCTACACATAAAAAAATTCCGCAACAACATGAAGTATCAGAACAGGTTCATCAGCAGGAAGTTTGTTGTGTTTGATGAGAAGCAGAAGGCAGAAGGAAAGCCCCACGTTCTCCCCCTCACAGCAGAGGAAGAGAAACTGTACCCCTTCATCCCCTCGGCCCGTCCTACCACCAGAGAGGGGAAAGCTGTGCTGAAATTTGGAGCCCCGATTATCTCCCACGCCGTAACCTGGATTATATTCATCACTGTGGATGCTTTGTTGTACTGCTTCATTGATTTTGTTACAAAAAAGTTATCAGAGCTGAAGCCTTTCCACGTTCCCCTGATGATAAGCTTTAAAGTAAGTATTTTTAAAAAACCTTTTCTGTTGATCTATCCCTCAATCATCCATCAAAGACTCATTTGGTCATCTGTTTTAGGGGGTTGCCACCTTGATTGGGATACCATTTGATGAGGAAACCCAAGAGAAGGACTTTTCCTACTCTGTGACCCTGTTTGAGAAGCAGTGCCTCCCTGAACCGGAGCTGCTGTTGTATAACTCGCTTTTCCCCCTGAGTGCCATCCTGCTCACCCTGCTCATCATGGCTCTGATGGCAGCCAAGGTTTCCCAGCTCAGACTGATGGTCTGTGAACGATTCTTTGCCACCACCGGAGACACGAGAGTGGAGTACCTGCATGGCAAAATCCTGAGGAGAAGATTCAAACTGAGGAAGGAGAATGACTGCAACTTAAAGTCATTTATTCTTAAGGTATGTTTATTTATTTATTTATTTATTTATTTATTTATTTATTTATTTATTTATACAAATACTGCAGTTTGATAGAAGAATTAACGTGGGTCTCTAATAAACGCTCTCTTTCTTTGTTTCATCAGCCACAATTCTGGTGCCCGATGCTCTTCCGACCCAAATGTGATCCTCAGAGCGCTGCGTAAAAGAATTCTGCTTTACACAGAACATCGTCAGTGGAAGAGCTTTACTGATTTCGGTTACAAGAACCTTCCCCTTTCTTCATGTATTTATCCATCCATCCATCCATCCACCAATCCATCCATCCATCCATCCATCCATTTTCTTCCYCCTATCCGGGGTCGGGTCGCGGGGGCAGCAGCTTCAGAAGGGAGGCCCAGACCTCCCTCTCCCCAGCCACTTCTTCCAGCTCCTCCGGGGGAACTCCAAGGCGTTCCCAGGCCAGCCGAGAGACATAGTCCCTCCAGCGTGTCCTGGGTCTTCCTCGGGGCCTCCTCCCGGTGGGACGTGCCCGGAACACCTCACCAGGGAGGCGTCCAGGAGGCATCCTTACCAGATGCCCGAGCCACCTCAACTGGCTCCTCTCGACGTGGAGGAGCAGCGGCTCTACTCTGAGTCCCTGCCGGATGACRGAGCTTCTCACCCTATCTCTAAGGGAGAGCCCAGCCACCCTGCGGAGGAAACCCATTTCGGCCGCTTGTATCCGGGACCTCGTTCTTTCGGTCATGACCCAAAGCTCATGACCATAGATGTATCATGTATCATGTATGTATTTATTTATTCATTTGGTTAAATGTCCTGAGAATTGTCAGGCGAGTTGTTGCAAAATGAGTTGTGAGGTCAGCATCTTTTGAACAATGTGACTACTGACAGAAAACCTGTGATAGATGGTTGTTTTCTGATGGGAAATGAGGCTGTTAGCTGTGTTTGCTATGTGGTTTGTTTCTGTGAAAACTTTAATTTCAATCTTTGCATTTTTTCTGAGCAAAATAAAGAAAGTACGTTAAATGTGCATCTTATCGTTGACCATTTCTTTTCTTTAAATGGAGCAGTGATAAAGCTTGTGATAAAGCCGCTGATTACTCCTAAACAGAGTGTGATCCCATAATAATTACGGTATTGTCTTGATAGTAACAGTTTGTATTCTTACAAGCCAAATGTGTTAACTAGAAAGCTGATTTCACACTACAGAAGCTTGACCTTATTTAATTGATAATTTCTGCTTGATATAAAATAATTGTGTGCAGCTCTGCAGTCTAATAAAACACAGTTATAAATTTTCTCTAAAGATATCATTCAGAACTCTAATGGGGGTCTACACTCATGTTTTTCATGTTAAATAAAAACTTGGTCAATTTCTCTGACAACAGTTTTGAAAGATGTCTTAATTTTTGTTGTTAAACAAGAAACTGGTTTTAAGTTAATTATTTTACCATCAGTGAACACTTGATAAAAAACATTTGAACAGAAATTCCATAATGTTGTATTATACAAGGATGCAGATAGAAATATTTGGTCTTTTAGTTCTTCTACTGTAACCTGAGAGGATCTTTAAAGACACATTTAGTGTTGTCCTCTAACACAGTTACACATTTGGTCCTGTTTTTAATAGGAAGAACTTCAAACACAGAAAAATAAAATCCTGTATGTGTGATGCAGGATGTAGAACTGCAACCTTTTCTTACATAATCTACAACAGACCCCTGCYTGTGCAGCCAGCAGTGCTGTCTGCTTCCATGTTCTGCATGATGTTTATAGAGATGTTGCAGGTGTTTGTATTTCTTATCTGCTATAAAACTAAAGACATGAACATTCACTGATGARGGCAGTACATTTTGTTTAACCACTCGTTAAAACTTATTCATAAATGGATTGTAAAACTCTTCCAAGAAACAGATTTTTTATTTTGAAATTTCTGACGGTTTCAGTTATACACGTCTTTATTTTTCCGAAGGGAACATTTTGTGTTGAAGGCCCCTGGGAACATAACCAATCATCTTAAAGTGGTCCAGCATCAGAAGAACATTGTCTGTTTCTGAAATTTTTAATTAAAAGGCAGGAGATATTTTTACTTGTCTGAATGACTGATATTTTCAAGGTTTGACTAAAATGGCTGTTACACTGTATTTTGCCATGTTAACATTATTTTGTGTTGCTGAGGTCTTTGAACAATGAGACTTGTTTTTAGAAATTACCGAGACATATTCTTTACAATTTTATTGACTATTTTTACTCTGCTCTAATGTTTGATAAGCACCTGAATGTTTTTCTGGTATATTTTTCACAATATTCTCACTGTGTTTTTACAATAGAATTGTAGTTTCCCYGTTTAATTGTGCAGAATTATTCATGAGCTAATCTGAAAAATGTTGCATCTAACTGAAAAAAAAAATAGGTCTACTTCTTTATTTTTTGAAATATTCCATTTTAACTCTCCAGTTCCACAAACCACTGCTCATTCCTCTGTCCAATCCACTGTCAGACAAGAGGAAGGAAGTGGTTTTGTTCAGCGATGAGTCGGCCCTATGTGACTCACACGCCGTCGCTGACCCGTGCTGCAACCTGATAAGCTCACAGTGTGTCTTAACGGAGCCTGTGGCACAACACCACGCCAGCATGCAAGCCCAATGGGAAGCTGCCTCATGACGCTTGCTGACAGCCGCAGACCTTTCAACCGGGAACCAGAAAAATAAAGACCAAACATGGGCAGAGATGGAGCCGACAGGAGCTCTTGCTGAACATTCCCACAGAGTCCGTCAGTCTGGGTGAATCACAAATCCTAWTATACCTTTAGAAATATCCCATTAGAGAGAAATTTTGGATGTGAGAAACAGCAGGTCTGTTATAATAGCAACAAACATTTAGGAGAATGGGAGATYCAAGATAAGCAAAATACTTTGAAATAAGCTGTGATGTGGTGTGTTTCTTATTTTATTGCACAATTAACACAGAACAGATGCATAAAGCAGTCTTTTCTGTATAAAATCAAGCACAAGGTTAATTTTAAATCTTAAAACACATAGCCGATTATATAAGATTTATGTCAGAGAAAACCTGATTTTCAGCAGCTGATTGGGTTTTACTGACCTGTGAACTGAGCAGATCTGACCAAAATACAGTATCTGATGCAGCTGAAAAAGACAACTTCCAGCAGAACAGTGACCTGAGTGTTGAACAGTTGATCTAAAGGTTCCCACCAATAAACTGTACAATGAATTATTGTCCGAGAGTCRGAACATGTCACATGTTTACAGTGTGGAAGCTGCTCACATGAAGCCCGTCTGTGTGAAAAGGTAGATGTTTATCCTTTGGCTTGTCTCTGTGCTGCACAGCACAAACACACACACCGCTGGACATTTACAGGCTTTCATGTTCTCGCTTGGTTCTTCACACGGGAATGACTTTGCCTTCATAAGGCTTTCTGATCACAGCTGTAGGTCTGCCCACCTGCCGACAAAACAAAGTCAAAGAAGGTCTAAGTCCTTTTTCATGTGTGAGATACCTTCATTAAATCTGGTTTCTACAACATACATCTATTACTCCAATACTGAAAAAGTTGGGACATTGTGTAAAATGTAAATAAAAACAGGCCGCAAATATATGCAAATTTCATAAACTTATATTTTGTGGTCAACATATCAAATATCTAAACTAAGAAATAGGTTTTTAGAGAGGAAAAAAAAGTAGTTTTGAATCTGAGGGCAACAACATCTCAGAAAAGTTGGAACATGACTGTTTCTCACTGTCCCCTCTTCTTTTAATAACAGACTGTAAACTCTAGGAACTGAGAAGACCACTGGAGTTCTTGGAAGGGAATGTTGTCCCGTCCTTGTTAGATGAAGTATTCTAGCTGGTAAAGAGTTCTTTGCTGTTTTTTTTTTTTTTTTTTTTGGTTCACTATATCAAATCCCCTCAGCAGAGTTGCCTCCTTAATGTGGTGGAGTCTGGGTACCCTTGTGTTACCCCTGTGTAGAGTATCTCAGGGAGGTTGAGAAATGTTATCKTCCTTTTTAAAAATGAGAACCACCACCCAGGTCTGTCACTCCACAGGAGTTGTCCCAGTCCCCCATTCGATGCCGAAGAGATGTATCATTATCCAGAGCCTTCAGCATCTCAGGGTGAATCTAACCCKACCCTGGTGCCCTTCGAGTGAGGAGCTTTTTGACAACCTGACCTCTGCCATGGTTATAGACCTGGTCACACCATGAGACATCAGAATCCGCCCCCTCCATGGTGGACAGGGTGGATGGATTAGGGAGATTTTTGAGGCACCACTGCTCAACAATATCTTCAGCCTGGGTCAGCAGTTCCCCACCCAAATTAAACACAACATGGGACAGGCCCACTTTCCTTTTCTGAGTCGCTGAATGGTTTGTCAGAACCTCCTAAAGGTCAACCAAAAGTCCTTCTCGTTGACCTCCTCAAAATCCTCTCATGCCTGAGATTTTTGCATCAACAA